TCAAACCCTAGGGAGGGGCGGCGGGCGGAGGGGGCCTGGCGGGCGGCCGCGGGCGTTCGCCGGCAGCAGGCGGCGTCGGGTGGCGGTGTCTGTGAGCGGAGTCGCTTGTCCGTACAATCGCGGCTCGCGACGAAGGAGTGCGAACCAGAAACGAACAGCTGGCTTCACGATAGGATAAGGAGTTAGGAGTAGTTCGGTCATTTCTCCTGATTGAAACAATTCGCTTACGCAGGGTTAAATATTAAAAAACTTGAAAATTAGATGTCATATATTGAGTGGCTTAAGAACTCGAGTTAAATATTGAAATTTCTCCCGCTTCGACTCACTGGACGGTGAGAGGACGAACCGATGAACTCACGAAGTGGCGTACGCCTGTTTTCCAAGGACTCCACTGACACGTGGGTCTACTATGTTAAGGTGTGGGCCCCACTGGTCATAGGCCGCGATGCCTCGGTACACCGAACACGTCTCCCATCTTGACGAGACCCGTCTTCCACCTCGCCGCCCGATCCGACGCGCTGGATCGCCGGCGACCGGGCGTTGTCGATCCGAAGTGCAGAAGTCGGCTCTTCCTGCCGATCCCCTGCGCTTGCGTCCCGTAATAACACGACCGGCGCATCTCGCCGGCTCAAGAGCATCCGTGGATCTGACCGGAAGAGGCCGCGGCTGCTACAAGCCTGCTGCTGCTGCTCCCTCGGCGATGTCGAGGGTTCGGGACAGGACGGAGGACTTCAAAGAGGCCGTCCGAGTCGCCGCGCTCTCCCATGGATACACGGAGGTGAGTTGCGGCCACAGCCTCTCCATCCACACCCCATCCTCAGCGTAGTGATGAAGCCTCACGAATTGTCCTCAATTCTTCACGCTCATTGACTCGTCGTGTTGGTTTGTGTATGCTATGAAGGCCCAACTGGCCGCGCTCATGTCGTCTTTCATCATCCGGAAGCCGTCACCCAAATCGGCGTTCACTAATGCCGCGATCAAGACGGTAGGAGCCTGTGGTGGATTGTGTTCCAGTTTTCATGTGGTGAGACAGGTTGCCAATGTAATTGTTTGATGGGTTTTGTTGATGTGTAGCTTGAGAGCATCAGGGAACTCGAGAGGTTCATAGTGAAGCATAGGAGGGATTATGTGGACCTGCATCGCACTACCGAGCAAGAGAGGGATAACATTGAGCATGAAGTAAGTTGCATATTGTGTCATTGTTTGTTTTGATTTGCTATCGCTTTTCCTGTGATGATGCATGGATGGAATCTTAAATGTGTGTATTACTCAACCTATGTGCTTAATGTTCATAAAAGAATTGTCTAGTGCATTGTTTGCCCATTTGGCATTTCATTACAGTTCTCTAGCATTTTAATATGCTTGAAGCCTTCATTGTTTGAAAACTTCAATAGAACATTTTATGCCTGAAGGCTGAAGCTCAATGGCACAAAAGATATCTATTGCTGTACCATGCCATGTACCTTTTTGTAAAATATATACTTGGCTGTCAAATTTTTTTTCACAACTACATAAATCTAATCTTGGATTACAATTGTCGAAGACTTTAGCCCTAAAAAATATGTTGAAGAGATTATATATATGCATGATCATGTATCCTCCTTCATTCAGTTAATGTAGGTTGTGCATCTCTCTGTTAATACTATTAAATACTATTAATCTATGTTTGGATATAGTGATGTGGTGTTCCAATTGTATAGACTATTGAGTTGACAACCTATATTCATACTGGCATCCGCACATTGATTCATATAACCTGCTTTCTATTCTCAATTTAGTACTTATTTGTAACTACTCAATGCATATTAGATTGGCGTTTTTGTAAAAGCATGCAAGGAACAAATTGATATCCTGAAGAACAGGATCCATGAAGAAGAGAAGAATGGAAGTGGAAAGACATGGCTTGGCACTAGGGATGAGAGTTCCCGGTTGGACTTGATAGCTCATCAGCATGGTGTGGTATGGTTATTCTCCTTGCCATTGCTGTTATAAGTTTAAAAAATCTGCTGGATTAGTTTGTTTTTTGAGGTAGTTAGCAGTAGAACTGACCTGAATGCATTCCATTTAGAGGATGAGGCAAAGTAATTCCTTAAGTGCCTGTTACGGTGCTACATGTATTATGATCCAAGATTTCCTTTTATTAGAGCCAATTGAACAGGTCATCCTGTTGAGGATTGATTGTTTTCAACATTTCCTTTCCAAATTTTTGAGTTGGGTGTATATTTCACTAGTTGGTAGTAGGATATCAGACTTCGATTGGTTGATTTCATTTGGTACGATAAATAATTATGCTGTGTGACTTTAGAGGACAGATTGCCCAGTCAAAACATGTGAACTTGAATAATATCTACTTTCATTTTCTTGTTCGCGGATGCATCAGGTAAGAGCATGTACAGGCGAACACCTACCTCTATTTTTCTTTGTTGTTTTTTCTCTATATCCAAATCTTTGTAGCAGTCAGTCATCAGTTCTGAAGTCTGAACTACCCTGTTTTGCAGTAGTTTTAGGGATTTTCTTGTGCCCAGCTCCAATAAGCTGTTTGTTTACGTTACCAGGTTTTAATTTTGAGTGAGCGTCTCCACTCAGTAACTGCACAATTTGATCGTCTTCGGTCCATGCGTTTTCAAGATGCTATTAACAGAGCAATGCCAAGGAAGAAGATTCAGAAGAGACCAGAAATCAAACCTGCTGAACCATCCAGGTCCAATCTTGTTCTAAAATCTGATGTATCAAAGATTGTAGATCAGGAAGTATCCACAGCACCTATGAGAGTTCAAGAACAACTATTGGATGATGAAACAAAAGCCCTTCAGGTAATATGTGGATGGTATATAAACTATTATTTAGTGAAAAACTTGGTTATTTTACTTAAATTACCATGCATCATGTGTATCGTAAAACTCTTCTCAGGTGGAGTTGACAAGTCTTCTTGATGCTGTCCAAGAAACGGAGACAAAGATGATAGAAATGTCAGCACTTAATCATCTTATGTCAACACATGTTCTACAACAAGCTCAACAGATTCAGTATTTATATGACCAGGTATAGGATTCGTTTAATCATATTCTACTAGTTTATATGTTACTAGATGAGTGCCCGTGCGTTGCAACGGGTGCAACATAAATTGAATGAGATATTTGTTAGCCAAGTCAAAATCAAGAATATATCAATTCAATTTTTCACGTGTATTATACCATGATAATGTCTAGAAACGCATTCATTATCGTAATGAATCTGAAATAAAAGCTAGGCTTGAAGCTTGTTATCTGAAAGTTACAACAAACATCAGTTGCCTCAAAGGCTGAAAATTTATTGCTAGGCATCGAATTGAATTTATCCATGCTCTGTCTTGCCAAAACATGTATACTCGGACTTACAATATCCATATCCGCATGAGGCATGGCAATAATTCATTTTTTGGGGAAAAAAGTATTTGTTGTCAACACGCAACGCGAAGGACGACGAACGAGATTTGGATCACGATCATGATCATTGCGTGGTGATATTCCAATAAATTCCTCTCTTCCCATAATTCTCTTTCCGTTTTATTCTATTTTATTTACTTGCCTTCCAGTGTCTCCATGCGGTGATTATTTGTCTGCCGGATATGGATCATATGAGTGTTTTGGTCCTGCCGGGTAGATGTTGACAATCCATATGTTTTAGTTGTAGAGACTTGTGTTTTCCTACGTGAACATAAACCTATGGACTGTCAGAATCATGAATCAACCTGAAAAGTATAATGGTCGCATGAAGGTTATGTCCATGAAAGAGCTTTGTAACACAGTCTAGAATTAAATAATTGCCTCCATGGTCAGATCCCCCACCTAACTGAAAGAACGCATGGTTTGGATATGCACTACACGAAACCTGATTGTTATCTGTATGTCCTCATAGAACATCTTCTGCGCAGGCTGTTGAAGCTACAAATAATGTGGAGCGTGGGAACAAGGAGCTATCCCAGGCGATCCAGCGCAACAGCAGCAGTAGAACCTTTCTCCTCCTCTTCTTCTTTGTTCTCACTTTCTCCGTTCTTTTTCTTGACTGGTACAACAACTGAAATAGTATACGAAGACATTGTATTTTGTTGATGGGAAATGATCAAATTATGAAGGCTGTCTGTCTATTTAATTTAAAGTCCTGGCCTTTTAGGTAGTCTGTTACTTCCCAAGCATACTGTTCAATGTTCTGTTCATCTGAATATGCCGGGATTTGTCATTTCATTTCTGGCGTGCAAGCTACAGAAGCGATGGGCACTGTACTAGGCCCATGTACGGAGCTTTCAAGCACTTGTAGAGAGGACAAGCAAGGTTCGACGTCTCTCTGCAGAACCTGGCCATCAATTCCTTTACTGATCAGGTCATTAGCAGTCTCAAGTTCTCAACAGTGTCGTCGTCCAGAGTACCTTAAGCTGTTAAGCATTCAAGTCGATATTTCCTTTGCTCTTCCCTGTTAGCTTTGACGCAATCTTATATTGGCTCCGATCAGCGTCAGATGCATGGATCACATACAGAAGCAATCTGTATTGGCTCTGATCAGCGTCAGATGCAGGCATCACATACAGAAGGAAAATGCACTTATGCACCTGCCATCCTGGCTACAAAATTGTAGCGTCAGTTTTGGAACAGGAACAGGGATTAAAGAGGACACAGGGCAGACATTGGTAGCCAAAACATCATTTTCGATTTATATACGAATCAAAAGGCCGTTTGGCAGTGACACCAACCAATGCACAACAGATGATGGTCAACCTAACATGAAGATATGCCAGGTAGGCAACCTAACAGGCCGACAGTGATAGACCAGGGAATTGCTGACGTTATGAGAAGAATGAAATATGCATTTCACCTCCATGTCTCATCATATTACAACTCTATATCAGCATGCTTAAGCACATGCTTGTCGACACAGACCATTACCCTATTTACTATACGCATCATCCATTAGTATCCCCCTCCCACTTTCAATATCTACAAAGAGGTATATAGAACAGTCTTGTCTCAGAACAAGAGCAGGCACAGCACCACAAACACAAAGAGGAAGAACCAGATCTGGTGGAGGGACCTCTCGATTTCCATCTGATGCCGCCTCAGCCTGGGGTTCACGTTCTGCGTCGCAACATGGTATGGGCTCGTGTAGTACAAGCTCGCTGGCAGCTGGCCACGGAGCGCCCAAGGAAGCACAACCTCTGCCATCCCTCCAAGCACCCCACCAGCAGTTGAGTGGATCAAGCCACGCCCTACTGGTGCTGGAGGGTAGATGAAGTCAAACCCATTGGGAATGGGATGGTGGTGTGCCTGCAGCAATGGCTGGTGCTGAGGGTTGTCTTCCATGCTCTGGTGGTAGTGCTGGTCATTGACGTTGCTTTGTGCATTCTGTTGCTCAACAGTCTCACGGTGTACCATGGGGCGGCGCGGGATGGCCATGCCATTCAGTGACTTCTTTGAGTTCCCTCCCCGGCCATATAGTGGCACAAGGGTGTCCATTGAGAGTGTTGCCTTGCATACGGGACATTGGCGCCTTGCCGAACTGCTGTTGTCGCTGGCAGTTGACTCCACCCCAGGCCGCAGCCACTCATAGATACAAGGCCAGCAGTACAGATGGCCACAGAGAGTAACCACTGGTTCTGCTGCAAAATCAAGGCAGATGTTGCAGTCAAAGCATCCGCTTCCTGTTGTCGCAGGCATGTCCCCATTGGCTTTCTTCACTGGCTCAATATCAGCCATGAAAGGCTGGCTATTGATAGCAGCCATGCAAGGCTGATCCATTCTCCCAGGTTCCATGGCAATCGTGATGCTTGCTCTCAGAAACTGTTTTAGTTCGGTTATGACAGTACTGCAATAGACGGAGAAACCAAAAGAGGTCAGTAGGAATACATACAATTGATAAAGCAACACGCTAGAGGTCATTGCACAAAATGATAAGGAAGTCTAAGCATTGAAAATGTTCATGATATTCGAACACTTGCCTAACCGTGTGGGAGGACTAGAGAAGTACAAGAAAGAAGACTGAAAGCAACGAAGCAAACCGCAAACCACATTTCTAGTTTTAATATATGCTGAATTCTGAGGAAGAGGCGGAGCCAAGTGTACAGACAATAACAATTGAACTAAATAGAGGGATCCATGTAATAAGCAGCTTTTAGGCCCACACCACATCATCCTGTCCTGGGGAGTCTATCCGAATAAATTGAACTAGTGTGACAACTGAAGTAGATGTTAGGTAAATCTCCAAAACGTGTTAAGAGGCAAATGTCCTTGAGTCTATGCTGGTTGCGCTTTTACCCAAGAATCCATCGTCTTTCCTAGTGGCCTGAGTCAGCAGTGATAGATTCTCCAATATTTTAGTACCTAGTAGTGTGAGTCAGCAGTCATGGATTCTCCAATAATTTAGTACTGGGGACGACAACTGTTGCGCTTTGTTTCTATCCCTTTAGTTAGATAGTTATCCGCGTCCTACTTTTTGTGCCATTGATAAGTTATCCAAGAATCTATCTATCAGAGATTAGGAAACTTATGTCAGCAAGAAAATGAAACCACTCGCTTATCTGCAATGTGCATGGCAGCATAATATTGACTCCAAGACTTGGCCCCTTGTTGAAGGCAAGAACAATCATTGCCAGCTCGAAATTGCCTCGGGAAGAAAATAGAGAACTATTCGAGTTTTAAAAAGCTTGCAAACGTGGACTTTGACAAGGCTGGTAGGTCTGAACAGATTACCACAGATCCTAACAAATTTTATATTCAGACAAACGGCTGGGGAAGACCAAAAGAGCTGATAAACAAAGGAAAGTATGAGATCGACTAAAGGTGTCCGTCCTAATCTCCAATATATGCTTGTGGTGACATGTTGATATTTTTGTAGGCGAGGGTAAGGCTTCACCCTTCCCCAGACCCCGCACAGAGCGGGAGCTCTCTGCACTGGGTACGCCCTTTGTGAAGCTTCTTCCAAAGGAGCATCATTGAAAAACAACAACAGGTGGAGGTACTGATGTGGACTGCAACAATGGTAGAGTAGCTACAAGGCTTGGCATATTTAATGGAACCAAACACACTGAAAATATCATTTAAACATTCAGTAATCAACAAAAACTAGAATAACCCAGTGATAATTGCACCTACTGTACTCTGATCAGGAAACAATGAATAGTTTGTCCACCAGCTTCGTGGAAATTTCTAATTCGCTTCTGGTCCCAAATGTGCCATGACCATCATTTTTATATTCAAGCAAAGCTTCGGTAAGTCTTTCCTAAGTTAAAACACATCTTAATCACATCAAGTACCTACAAATGAAGCTCAAAGAGAGCATTTTCCTCCAGTTCTAGTTTTGTTTTGTGGTTCATGACTGGCCTAATAGATATGTACAGAAAGAATTGGTACTGAAGGTGAAGGTTGTGCTTGACAAACAGAAGCTGTGAAACTCCAGAAATAAACAAGCCGCTATGTTGGACGTGTATGAGCTACCATACTATGGATTTTAAGCACGTTCCAACAATAATTTGATCTAAATTTAGGCATGCCAGTGAATTTGGTTGCCTTTATTATATTCCATATGTATCGTGAATTCGTGATACTAGTAGGTTTCAGAAAATAACCACATGGGTATTAAGCATACGCACCTATACCAGAGAAATTTCTTCAGGGAAAAGGTATTAAATACTAGCTTCAAATAGATATATGCAAATTGATGCAATTTGTAACCCCAGGGAGATGGGTCGGATGAAACATTTTGGAACACAAACTAAACTGGTACCTGCACACGAATCCACCACAACAAAAAGAATGAACGGGTCTGAGAATCCGTCTCAGAAAGGGAGGTTCAGATTTGGCTTATCAAGTACAACGAACGCGGAGACCAAACAAAACAGACTCTTGGAGCAATCCGTCCGATTACCGAACGAGGAAGGAACAAGCAGTGCAAGCCAAGGTAATAGGGTTCCTTACCAGCAAAGGAAGAAGAAATCAATCCGAGCTCGGATGGATCCGCGCTCCACGCAGGTGCAGCACCACCAGCAAGGATGATGACGTCGGCGGCGGCGGATAGGTCGCAGAAATTTGACACAACGCGCTTCCGGGGATGGGCTCGGCGGCGCGGCAAGAGGAAGATGGTTTCTGGGCGGTGGCGCGAGGCCGCGGCGATGCTTCGGGCGACGAACGCGGGAGCGGCGGAGCAGGACGCGGCGGCACGGCAGCCGGCGATGATGAGGCAGGAGGAGGGGAGCAGGGCGATGATGAGAAGAGGCGGCGGATTTCGGTGGGAGGCTCCCGTCAAGGGTGTATATAATGAGTTGGGGATTCGGGATTTTTTTTTTCCCGTCGTTACGGATGGCCCTTTGCAGTTTTAGGTGTCCTACTATATAATTGTCATCTCAAATAATAAATCTCCTACGTTTTTATCACTTTCACTGACGTGTTACGCCAAGTGAGCGTGCCAGCGTAGCAGTGAGCCTGAGAACCTCTACCAAGCATGCGAAAATTACCTGTTTACCCCTACTGTTTCTCTCTCCCGACACTCGCTCACGCGTGGGCCCTCTTCCTCTCGCTGACGCGAGGGCCCCGCACGTCAGCTTCTCCTTCAATCCCATCTCTTTTCCTCACCGCGCCTCACCTCCATGGTTGTCGTCGTTGCCGAAGCAGAGGACACCGGAGGGGCCTCGTTCGTCACTCCTCTGCCCCTCCGATTGCGCCGCCGCCTCCACTGCAGCGCGCCTCGCCGTTCGCGCCTCTCCTCCGGCAGGCTCGGCTCCTTCATCGCCGCTAGCGAAGTCGCCATGACCACCGCGAGTGCACGTGGCCAGGCCACCGCGTGCCGTTCTAGGCTGCGCAAAGAGCACCCACGGGCTTGGCGGGTGGTGGTGGTGCTTGCGTGTTGTAGCTCGCAGACGACCCCCACCTCCGTCAGCTGGGATCGGTCAGAGTCCAATTCGTGCGTGAGTTCACCCGACTCGGCCTCCACCAATCCGTCGGCGGCATCCTTGCCCTCGCGCACAGGCGTAGAGGCGTCTCGTCCGGGGAGGAGGGGCCGGGAAGCTCTGGCTCTGGCGGGCCGTCCCCGCTCACGCTCTCGCGGGGAGAGCGCCACCGAGGCGTGGTCGCACCGCGAGAGCAGAACGCGCGCGCGCGCTCGCAGCCATGGAGGATCTGCTGCTCCCATCCTCACTGTTACCCGCACCGACGGAGAAGCCGAGGCCCGGGCCTGGGCTCAGCGGCAGCGGGACGATGCGGGACTCGACGGAGGCGGTGGAGGTCTCGGCCTCGGCGATGGCGAACGCGTCATGCTTCCCCCTAGGCGCGCCGGCGGTGGTGAAGGGCAGCCAACGCTAGTGGAGCTGCGCTCGTCCGGGGAGGAGGGGGTCGAGAAGCTCTGGTGGCGCTGGCGGCCACCATCACCGCCACTAACTTCTGCGCAGAAGAGATGGGGTTGAAGGGGAAGCTAACGTGTGGGGCCCACGCGTCAGCGAGAGGAGGGAGAGAGAAGCAGCAGGGGTAAACAAGTAATTTCGCATGCCTTGTAGAGATTCTCAGGCTCGCTGCCAAGCTGGCATGCTGCATCAGCGAAAGTGGCAAAAGCGTAGGAAATTCACTGTTTGCGATTGCAATTATATAGGAGCACACATAAAACTGGTAAATGGAGGAGTGTCATCCGTAAGGATGACAAAAAGTTAAAAATCTTGGATTCGGCTCGGCTAAACGAGGGCGAGAAAGAAAAAATTAGCTCCGCTTGGCTTGCACGAAGGTCTTTAAAAGCTTCTTAAAACTAATTATAATTATTAAAAATAGTTATATCAAGCGAACAAAATAAATAAATACCTCTACTTTATCGTTTTAAATGATTTTTATAATAATTATTATAGATTTCTAAAACTCGAAAATCAGACAGAAAAGGGAAAACCACTGGCCGCAGATAGTTGCACTAGCCATTGGGTATATAGTGATTAAGGCTTAAATCCATTGGCTTCGCCGTTGTTGAGCCAATCCAATGCAAGAGCTAGCCGTGGTGATAGGAAACATATGCCCTGTTCACTTGAACTTATTAGTTATGATATAGTGTTTTTTTCTCGTAACAAATCAGCGAATAGTATTTTTTAACGCAACTTCTCGGCAAAACGAACAGGGCCAGCATGGACGCCATTGCCGGTGGTGCACGTCCACGGGAAAAGTCATAGATTTCGGAACCGATAATAAGGCCGCTCCGTCCATACTAATCGAATGACTCCGTCTAGGAAAAAAAACCACACGGAGTAAGGCCTGTCCGCTCCGACGTTCCCCATTTTGCCATCTCCCGAGTCACCAGTCAACACCATTGCCGCTTTTTGAGCGCTGAGTGACACGAAACAAAGACGAAATGTTCCCTAGTGGGCCTCTGCTGCCTCTGCTCATCTTTTGCAACATGTGTCCCGTCCATTATCTCAAACCGATATCGCATTACATACAGGAAGCAACAACATATACTTTAGTTTCAAAAGAAATAATATACACTCGCTCACTTCGTTCAAAAAAAAAAAGGATGTCCACTATAGCAACTATAGGTTTAGTCTTTCTTTCGAAAGATCAACTATAGGTTTAGTCAGTCAAACTATTTCTAGTTTGTTCAAGTTTATAAACAGTATCAATAATTCTGACAAAATGTACTTCGTGACTAATCGTATGACACATATTTAACATCATAAATACTTGTATTTGTTTTTGGACAGAAATAGTTTTTGTAGAATTTGTTTGCCACTAATGGAGCATTGGAGCTATGTAATCATTCCCGGTACATGCAATCATGACTCCTTTTGTTATCTTCTTGTTTTTCTTTTCTTTTTTGCCTTATGATTTCAGTGACTGAGGGTATGGCCGCGACTGGCACGGTACTGTGCATCCCCAATTGCCATACGGGCACAAGCAGACGAGCAATCTGTTCGCCGCATCATCAGATCAGACCAGATAGTAACAAAAATGTGGGGCTCGCACGACCGGTGTGTGTGGTGTCAGGGTAAACACGAGCAAACAAGACACTCCCCGCATTGTCATTTGTCAAAACTTACGCCCACAAGATTTGACGCTGGAAACGTTGGGAGAAATATAGAATACGGGCTGCGCAGACACGTACTAGTACGGCGGGCAGATAGGCTGACAGGGTCACAAGTGAGCTGTCGCGGTCAGTGGCGAAGAGTCCCCTGACCACTGGCACCACACGGACGAACGACGGGAAACCCAAGTAGAACCGCCTAGTGAAAACTAGGGGTCTTGGCCACTTGGGTCGATCTTCCAAAAACCAGAAGGTTTTTATTGTTATAATTAGTATTTGGCACCACACGGACGAACGTAATTAGTTTTATTTTTTATTTATATTTAATGCTTTATACATAAATTCAAAGATTCGATGTGACGAAAAATCTTAAAAATTTTGGTAAAATAAGGTGAACTAAACAGGGCCCAAGTCAAGTAGACCGTGTCCAGCCATCTGGATGGCATTGGCGCCAGTGGCCGCCTCCGAGCCGTGCCGGCCCCGCCCGCGTTCCCGGCTCGGATCCGCGAAACCGCATGTGCGCGCGCCTTTGGCAGCGGGCCGCCGAATCCGTTCCGCGGCTTTCGTGACCGGAGCGACCGACACCAGCACGCCTTCGTTCGAAGCAAAAGCTGCTGCAACCGTCGCTGGGTTGCTCGAATGGTCAAACGGCCACCGGCAGATTCGCGTGGCCTTCAGTCAGAGGCTCAGAGCGTCAGACGGCCACCGGCTCCCCGCGCGGACCAGACCACAGCGCGGTGGTTGGTTGCCTCGCGGGTCACGGGCTCGCTCCTTGTCTTGTTTAATCTGCCGCCGTACCGGCCACCACGTCTAGTTTAAGCGCGGTGAGGTACGGTGCCTGCCGCGTGCGTCGTTCGTCGCCGTCGCGGAGTTAGATAGGAATAGGATGCCGGCACCGAACACGCCTGTGGCGGTCTCATCCGGTCGGGCGTTCGTGGCGTGATAAGATAAGATATGGGGGCGCGCTGCCCTGCCCCGCGCACGAGCGATCATTGGCCTGGGTCCGGTCGTTGCGGAGAGAGCCCAGAGGGCGCGTCGCGACCTGCCGCGTTCCGCAATCCGCCACGCCGGCGGTGGGCGGAGGCCACACCTGCCACTGCCTGCCGGCTTTGCCCTGATCCTGGCGCCGACGCACGTTTAGCACCCGTCGGCACCGCGCGCGGAGGGAGGGCTCTTGTTTAATCGCTCCACAGGTGCGTGCATTTATGTGGCGACACTGTTGCAGGTTGGATGGCGCTACCAGTACGAGCACGTACCAGTTGGGTTCGGGCAGACACAGCACAGCTAGCCAGCTAGGCGATGGGACCAAAGATTGAATCTGGGGGGCTACCGATCGCAGATCCAGACATACAGACCGCCCGCTGTTTTGCAGCATCTGCCCGTGGATTACACGTTCGCGCAGCAGTTCACTCAGGCCGCCGGACCACGGAATGGATCCACCGGTCGATGATTCTTCCCTCCCTCCCTGTGGTCCTCAGCCAAGGTTTCCACAAGTCTTGACAATTGACATGCCCCCAAGGGATTTACTGTAGGATTTAAAGCTTTGTCCGTAACGAAGAAATTGTGTTTTAGATGAGTATATGCCCAATTCTTAGGTGCAGCCGTAGATTACGTGTTGCCATTCGGAATGCAATACAATCCCGGGTTCAGCACGTATGGCAGATAATAATTAGATGAATCTCGGAAACAAGTATATCTCAAACCATATCATATCTGGAAATGGCCATAAGGAACACATTTCTTATAGTATGATGTTCTCGGATCGTCCACGTTACACATTTCTTATAGCCATATCATATCTGGAAATGGCCATAAGGAGCACGTATGGCATTCTTATAGTATATATTATTAAATTATTAATATTAATATAAGATAGAATGATGTTCTCGGATCGTCCACGTTACACATTTCTGAGCCTCTAATAAAGAACAAGAAAATAAAACCAGGCTAGGGTGGACAATAATTCATGCCGCTTTCCTCAAACAATAACCGAATATATATATAATCCCATTATATACAGGTAGTTATTGTAGAACTGTTCTCCGTATGGCTCAAGTGGTCTCTACACAGTCTTTTGAAAGCCCCCAACTGTGCTGAAGAGATCCACTGCGCATTTTACACCTCAACAAATTTCTCGATGCATGTGACCAGTGTGCTCTCAGGCACAGCCCCGATAACCGAATCCTTTTTCTCGCCATTCTTGAATATCATCAGGGTGGGGATGCTCCGGACCCCGCACTGGCTTGCTATGTCCGGGTTCTCATCTGTGTTGAGCTTGTAGCATCTCAGCTTTCCCTCGTAGTCCTTTGAGAGCTTGCCAACAACTGGATCTATCATTTTGCATGGCCCGCACCATGAAGCCCAGAACTCAACAAGGACAGGAAGCTCGCTCTCAATCACAAGTGATTGCCATGTTGACTTTGTCACATCTGGGACTACAATTGAACAGTTGAAAATGAGAAAACCTCAAATGATCCATAGGTATAGTACCAACAACAAAGGAAGAAATGTCAAGATATAACAACAAAGATAAAAGAGTTTCACGAGCAATTGAAACAAAATGGAAACAGCATTCAGCTTGCAGGGGAGGTAATTTTCTCACTTAGAATTTGTTTATCGAAATACTACTAGTAGTAATACAGTTTAAGGGGCCACTTTATACCTGTGCAACTACAGTCCTACTAGGCAGAGCAATAATGATTAGGTATGCCCAGGTTTAACCAACATTACTTCAAATGCTATGCAAATTGCAAAGGAGTGTTGTTGTTGTTGTTTTTGCAAAGAAAAATGAAGTTTAAGTAAACTAGGTTCTAAACAGAAAATAGTTGGTTTGAACCACATTGATTCGAATTAGTTATTTGACAAACATGGTAAACCAAATATTGGAACATAAGGAGATGGATGTATAAATGAAGGTGCTCAAATTAAAGTAAGGACAATCTACAAACACCAGTTGCCAAAATGGGAGCACGACATGATATGCTTGTCCCAGTATGATGCATCTAAACAGATACAATATGCCTCGCTTTGTGCAAAAAGCATGTCGCAACTTTGCCATGGTTAAAGCAAAACAAGCAAGGAACCTCCCGAGATACTATTCAATCATGGCACTAAGCATTGCTGGTTTTAATCTTTCAATTTAATTTACTAACAGCTTTTATGTTAAGCCTCAACAGAATCGTGGGTAAAACAACAAGAGTAAAGGGACTGACAGGAAATGCATTCGATCTTCTCAGTGATAAATAATGTGATACATGACAGTATGGCATACATTCTCATCAAATCAAAAGGAGTTGTGTTTCACACACCACCATAAGTGAATAAGGCAATAACAAAATTGGCAAGATAACAAGGTTACATGACCCACGTGAATCATACATACATAAACCTATTCATTTAACTAGTACTGAACAATTTAGGGCTTATAGCAGCCCAAGTTTGACAATTGTATGCTTCCATATTTGGATTATAGCACCTTTCCACAAAAGGAAATGGGTGGTCAGCAACATTAGTAATTGTAATATTATACTATTATACCATAATAAAGCATGTCACCCATGCGCATGCATGGATCTCTGGATGCACCATAGGAGAACTGGAGGTGCTTTGGTGCTTTCCCAGCAAAGCAAGGTTCCAACAACATAAAGGTTGTTGTCTCCAACTCCAACACAACACAGGTACTAGGTAGTAGATACCCATGTGCTTGACCTTCCCAAGGAAACACAATTACAAATCTACAATTCAATCCAACATGATATGTCGATCCCAATATTATGTATTTGAACAGTTCAAATATGCCTTGCTTTGTGCAAAAGGTGTGTTGCAACTGTCATAGTTATTAAAAAAACAAGAAACAATCTCCTAAGCTATTATTCAAGGCTATGAAATAAGCATTGCTGGTTTTAGTCTTTGCAAATTTCATTTTAGCAAACAACTTTTATGTTAAACCTATAATTGTGGATAAAGCTACCACACTAAAGGGACTGATAGGAAAGGCATTCAATTATCCCAAGGATTAACAATGTGATACATCCTCATCAAACCAAAGGGTGGTACACAATGCCATAACAAATTGACAAAATAAAAAGGGGTACATGACCCACGTGGGTCATACATGAATCTGTACATTTAAGTATTTAACTAATACCGAACAATTTAGGACTCCAAAGCTGTATACTTCCATATTTGGATTATAGCGCCCCTACTCGACAATATTAGTAATTGTGATACAAACCATAAGAGCTTGTTCAGTTTTGGTAGGGATTGAAAAGGATTGAGGGGGATTAAATACCTTACAAGTCAGAACCCCCCTCATCCCCTCCAATCCTCTTGGGGAGGGGATTAACCAAACAACTGATAAAGCAAGTCACCAATGCACATGCATGAATCCCTGGATACACCAAAAGGTGCATTTAAAAGAAATGCCACTCAAACAGATTACAACAGTAGGCTGATTACAGAGGGAAAATTGCATGCACCAAAACGGGATGGGGTTTTGGACTTTGGTGCTTTCCCAGCAATGAAGACTTAAAGAGTCCATCGACATATTTGGGTTGCTGCCTCCAACACAACATAGGTACTAAAGGCCTGTTTGTTTCTACATGCGCTCCTAAAATTCCTGTCACATCGAATGTTTAGACACATGCATGGAGTATTAAATATAGACTAATTACGAAACTAATTACACAACTTGTGACTAATTTGCGAGACAAATCTTTTAAAACTAATTAGTCCATGATTTGACAACATAGTGCTACAGTAACATATGCTAATGACAGAATAATTAGGCTTAAAAAATCGTCTCGCAAATTAGCCTCTATCTATGTAATTGGTTTTGTAATTAATCTATATTTAATACTCTTTATTAATATCTAAACATTCGATGTGACATGAATTTTAGGAGCGACTAAACATCCAAACACCCCCTAAATAGTAAATACACATGGGCTTCATCTTACCAGGGGGAACACAATTGCAAATCTGCGATCGAAGCAAATGCAAGTAGATATGCTGTCTCTATCACAGGAACGCACTACATGAATACATGATGGTGCATGCATGAAGGTAGACATTCACAAAAACCTAAAAGCACAGACGTCAACAGCTGCTCGCGTGGAGTTGCTATCCAGTATGCTGCGCAGCTGCGCCCTTGGTGTGGTAACCTTTGATCCCCTAGCTAATTCCTGCTAATTACTCCGAATAGCTGCCTATACGTAGAGGAGACCACGCAACCTAAACGACACAGCATCCTCCTATCCTACTTGCGGATTCATAGAACCAAATGTGTAATCGCACTCCAAACAACCAAATCTATGTATCATTTCTACAATTCTACGTACGGAATAATAATTAATCCTCATACACACGCCACTCGGGTACCTTGGATGGTCGCATCCTGACTCCTGACCTTGGACGGCGCACACTACGGACGCGCCACGGCCCGTGCCCCGTCTGTTCCCGGAGAGGCCGGTAGTCGCGCGGAGCGGCGAGGATTTGACGGTGGACGGGATCGCGCAGCAGATGCGGTGCGCGGGGTGGGCAGGTGAGGAGACGCAGGCGAGTGGAGAGGAGGCCACGGGGACGGGGACGGGGACGGGGACGGGGAAGGCGAGGCCGGCGGCCATGGCGATCCGCGACGGGGACGGGGGGAGAGTTCGAGAAGGCACGTTTTTGTTGCGGTGCGGGTGCGGGTGCGGGTGCGATGCGACGAGATCACGAGAGAGAGACAGGGGAACGGGAGGGGAGGGAAAGAAAAGTAGAAGAGGCTTTTTCCTCTCGGCCATTATAAAAATGCTTCGTTCATATGCGCCATTAAAAATTTATATAGATCCTGATGTCATGACGTTAACATTTTTTTTTTTTTGTTCTCCACTCTATTTCATCCGTCTTTTATTAGATTTCCACTATTTGCTAGCCCTAATATGTGGGCCCGATCAGAGAAAATGTACAAAATACCTCCCTCTCCCAATCCCTCCCCACGCACGTCGCGCTCCTATGGTCCTGCCCCTCCGGCACCATGCCTCAGGATAGAGGAACTCGAACGCCGGACAGGGCAGGTGCGGCCAGCACCTCGTCGGTGGCGTAATGGAGAACGGAGGTCGGCAACGCGAACAGGCAGACCAGGGTGGGGCCTGAAAGGATCAAGATGCCCAAGAGGAGGTGAATTGGGTTAATTCTAAATTTCTTCGCAATAAACAAGTCATATGGTTAGTTCAATTAACCCCTTGTGCCTAGAGAAGTGTTTCTATTGATCTAACGTACAAAAGTTTAGCAACATAGTTTCAATCCTACTCTAGCATGGCAATTCTAGGAAAATAAATGACAAAAATTAAAATGCTCAAAGTAAATGTTCAAAGTAAAGAGATGAGAGGAAACGCGACGATGTTTTGCCGAGGTATCGGAGAGTAACCACTCCCCACTAGTCCTCGTTGAAGCACCCGTGCAAGGGTGTAGCTCTCCCTTGATCCGCGCAAGGATCAAGTGCTCTCTACGGGTTGATTCTTCGACACTCCGTCGTGATGAATCACCCACAACAGCTCACAACTTGAGTTGGGTCATCCACAAGCTCTCGCAGATAATCACCAAGCTCTCCGATCACCACCATGCCGTCTAGGTGATGGCGATCACCAAGAGTAATAAGCACGAACTCTCACTTGACCACGACAAGCCTAGAGAGAAGGGTGGATGCACACTTTGCTACTCTTGATCTCACCAATGAGGGCTCTCTTTGAAATTCTCAAATCTCAATCACCTCACTAGGACCTTACTCTTCTTGGCACTCTCTAAGGTATGTTTCAGCTGTTGAAATGAGCAAAAGTGACTCCACACACGAGTGGAGCTTCTATTTATAAGACAGCCTGAAAAACGAACCATTATGTGCCTCTGCGGGGTGACCGGACGCTCCGGTCAGTTCAACCCGCACACCAGTGTTTAAGTGTTGACCGAACGCTGGCAGGGTCCAGTCACCACTGACCGGACGCATCCGGTCCCATTTTTCCCTCATTAGATGCTTACTGTACTCGACCGGACGCTGGATCCTCAGGGTCCGGTCAGAATTGACCGGACGCGTCCGGTCGTAGAATTCCTTCTCTGGAACCTTACTGAAATCGACCGGACGCAGCGTCCGGTCACTCGACCACTCAGCGTCCGGTCGCACCAGACGCAATCTCCTTGGTCAAATGAACTGACCGGACCTGCAGCCAGCATCCGGTCGCACCGGAGCCAGCGTCCGGTCAGTATTTGACCCTCCATTCACTTCCAACTCTCAATCATACGTGAATGAAGTTTGCTCCAAAGGATCTTAGACATATGTAGGAGCTACCTAGTGCTAGTTTCAATAAGTGTGCACCACACCTAACTCACTAGACTCACCTAGGTCAAGCTACCTATCCATACCCTCTTAATAGTACGGCCAAAGGAAAAACAAAATCCTAAACTATTCTAAGTGTCTCTCCAACTCCAATCGACACTTAGAACTAGTTATCCTTAACCTTGTCGTCCATCCTTTGAAAACTGAAACGATTTCCATCGTAGGGGCATGACATCCATGATTGCCCAATCGATCTCCATTACCATGACCTAACTTAATTGCCTCTGCAAAACACACGTTAGTCATATTAATCATGTATTGTCATTAATCACCGAAACCCAACAAGGGGCCTAGATGCTTTTAATCTCCCCTTTTTGTGATTGATGACAATACCACCTCGAGTATGTGAAAGAGTTGAGGTTTTTATCATGCTTGAATCATATAAGCTTTTGTCAATAAGAACAAAAGAGTTAGTCAAGCTTATATAACCCAAGCCATCATGATGTACTCAAATGATATGAAATAAGCATGAGTACAATAAGAAAGGCTCATTTGCATCGGAGTAAAAACGCGGAAGCAAAGGAAATGAGCATAGCACAAGTGACATGACATATAAATAATTCAAAGTAGAGAGCACACATGTCATATATCACGATCACGTAGATATCACTATCACATATATATAGTTCGATGTATGAAAACAAAACACACGATGAATGCATAATAGTAATAGTGTATCACACATAAAAACTCTAAATGTAGTATATAAGCTAATAATATAACTAAGCTCCCCCTAAATATGTCGCTCCCCCTAAAGCTAACATACTCGAACCCTTTCCCCTTTGGCGTCAAACACCAAAACCTAAGGGTTGGTCGACGGGCTCGCAATGACGAGTCAGCGTTAAGTACGAGGAGCAAGTTGAATCAGGCGGCATCATCATCGACCTTGAGCTCTATCTTTGATGACCCTCTGTGGCTGGAGCGTTGCAGGTCTCAGGTCTGAAGTGAGGCAGTCTTTGCTGTGATCTTCTTTGGTATATCTCGTCGAGGATCTCAAGATGCGACATGAAGAAAGAAGCCTCTCGAGTAGTCACGACAACGGAGCTCTTTGTAGAAGGACCTGGGGCATGCATATGTGGCGGTGTAGGCATCCCTGTCAACTCGCTAAAAGATGCTCCAAGACTCCTAGAGACTGACGTGTCAGGCATAAATAGCGAGGATGACTGATCCGGTGTGAACCCCATCTAAAGTGGTGTGAACTGTGGGGCTACCACTGACGAGGATAACCACTGGGTCACCTGTACTAGGGGAGAAGGAAACCGAAGGAGAGGCTGTCCACGACTTTGAAGCCCACTGGCTGCATCTTCTTTGGAGTCATCGTAGTGGTGGCAGGCTGAGCAAGCTGGGGTGAAGGCTGTGATTATGGAGCCCCAAGAGCTGTTACTACATCTTTGCATAAATCCCATAAGTTGTTCTTTGCATGAGTAACCTCTGCTTTGGAGGACCTCTTCTTTGTCATTTGGAACTCGCCCTGATGAGCCTAAAAGCGTGCAAAGTTGGCAGCGGTCTCTGAGCCTATCTAGCTCGATCTGCCCAGATCCGCTCAAGGATAGCAATCAAAGCGGGGTCCGTTTGCGGTGCAGGTGGAGCGAAGCTAGAACTGTCGGCCGCTGCATCATGTCTACGTGGAGGCATCTGAGGAATAGACTGGTAGTCATCGTCTGAGCTATCACTAGGCTCGCTCACCTCCTGCTGTGCCTCAAGCTCCTCCTCCTCAGTAGCGGCTATGCCTCTGATAATCTCGTCTTGTTGAGCTATGGACTCTGGTACATCTAGACGATGGCGAGGCTGAGTGGGTGCCTATGGTGTGCTATGCCTGATCCTCTGTGCCATGTTATAAGCTGGAAACTCTGTGGTGGCACCTCTGTACTCTACAACCATCTCTAGTGTCCTAACTTGCACAGCCTTGAGAATAAGGAATGTGATCCAATATGCATAAGGAAGTTGCCTACGACCCTTGAAGCCCTCAGCTATAGTATCCTCCATCTCTAATAAAAGGAGGTCCCAAATATCAAACACTGTCTGCTGCATCAGGGCGTTGAGGAGCCAAAGCTGAAGGCGAGTCAAGCCCTCTCTATATCCCTAGCCTAGGAAGTAGTGTCCTCCTAATGATAGCCTCTAGCACTCTAGCTATAGGAGTAAGATCACTGGGGTTCCTCCTTGACCCCTCACCAAAGGGATCCTTAAAGCAATGGCGCACAAGATCTGTAGGGGGCACCAAACCACCATGAGGACGCCTGGGAGGCTCTTGCTATCCATAACATACCTCATGTAACTTGACAGGCTGCTCCTATAGCCTCAGTATCTCCCTAGCCCTCTGACTCATCATCCTGTAGTCTCTGCCTCTAAATGCAAAGTGAATAAATCTGTGATGTGGGTCAATAAAGAGTGAAGCATAGAACTGACGGACCCAAGATGGAACATATAATCCTATCTGTCCAATCAAATCTGTCAGCCCCGGCACATATGATAAGTATGGGTAGATATGCTCTCCGGCTGCTGCCACAATAGACTCTATACTGCATACCCGCTGAGATATGAAGACTGCTCCACTATTCATATAGGCATTATAGAAATCCTCTTGCAGTGGCGTGTAGAAACCCTCTGCTGCTCTCTCATCTCTCCTGGGTGGAAACCATACATCAAACTCCACGAAGCGAAGCTGCCGAACCTACTTGGCCGTGGCGGCCCTCAAGTCAAGATGTACCACTGGAGGCGGACCCTGTGGTCTAGGCGGTGGACGTGATCCCCTCCACTGTGTCGGCGGCCTCAGTGAGACTAGAACATGGGTACGACCAGAGCGGCGTAGCTGGGGCTGTGGTGCCTGCTCTATCTCCTAAGCCTGCTCACCCTCCTGAGTCTGCTCTACTGTCTGGGGCTGCTGCTGTGAAGCTCCCTGAAGCTGACCCTCATCAATAGTATAATGCCCTCCTTCAACAGTGACAGTTCCAGGTGGACTACCAAGAAGGCGCTCAACTCGCTGTATCCCAGCCCTTGCTTCCGATGAAAGCGGCGGATCTGCAATCACAACCCCACTGTGAGTACCTCCTCTCTCGGAACGCTCTACGACCTCTACAACTGTTGCTGCTCGAGTTGTCTCTGCATCTGGGTACTTCCTCTTCTTAGATGCAATCTTCTTTGTCACCTTACCTTTTGCATCTGCAGGCAGGCGAGGCGGGGGCCTCCAATCATCATCTCTAGGACCACCTCTGTAACACCTCAGGTGTTTGCCACCAGTTAAGCAATGGGTTTAAA